TGAAAATATGATAAATATGCATAAAACACTGAAATTGTATAATTTTTTAAAAAATGAAAATTGTACCTGGAAATTTATAATTCTGGAACATAAGTCCTTCAATACTTATATTTTCAAATCTAATAATATACAACTAATCTGTTATATCATTAAAGGAGAGAAACTAGACAAACTACTAGTAAACAATCTTGTTTTGATGGGCCAGAAGTAAAAATGGTAACATATGTTTCAAAATTTGTTCTATAATTTTGGAAAGATTTCTAAATTAGCATTTTTATGTAAAAATTGTTAGATTAAAGCATTAATTGTAATAGAAAATTGTAACCTAATAAATAAAAATATAATCAAGTAGGACTGTAAAAAAGTCTTCAAGGTATTGTGTCAGATATACGGGCAGGAAGAAATTTTGGGGGGAGATATATACTGTATAAGTTTTAATAAGTTTTCAAATTTAGGAAATATTATTTCTTTCTAGAAACCCCGCCCCCATCAAATAGGTATTTCTAAATGTAGTTTATTTCAAAGGATGCTTAGCTTAGAGTCTATTCTACTGCTCCCTTCAGCATAAGGGCAATGAATACATTGTCATCAAGGATACAGTAGCAATGTTCCATTTTTACATAAATACTATGTGTGTATGGATATGAACAAGATTTGTTAATCATAAAGCTATATTGTGTTAACTGATAGTATATTAAATTTTAGAGTCCATTCTCAGGTTTATTATGGTTAATCTAGGTTTGGTTAACAAATTTCATTCTGCCTAAGTTTCAGTTTCATCTTTACCTTCTTTTGAACAGAATAAACTATTTTCATTTTTCATAAATTTGTCTATGTAAACAGCAGTACTTAAGTGTAATCTGGATGATGATATAACTGTCATCTTCAGATTAGGTGCAGCTTCAAGGTAATATTGTTTAACAATCTTTCTGTTGCTCATAATCCATTACGATTGAGATTTGTATTGTCTGAATTATTGATTCTGACAAATAAATTGTCTCTGCCACTGATTCAGGGATATGGCTTGCAGAATTTATTTAATACATTCTAAACTAATGATTAATCTGATTTTTTGCAAAAGATAAGTATATATGGTACTTCACAGAAGTTTGCCATTATTAATAAAATTTTGAAAAACGGCTTCTCAAAAAAATGTGCAAATCAGATTTAAAAATAGAAAGTACTTTGAATAAAGATGGGATTAGTTTCTGCTGCTGTTAGTTATAGATTTCCAATTAACTCTTACAGAAGAGTTTTTGCTAGTTTGCTTTTCCTGACACCTGAGGCTCACCAGCATACTATTGCCTAAAATCTTCTATGCAGTAGAGTTTCAGGGAACATACAGATTTGTAACAGATACTGGAAACAACAAGACCTCTGCTTTCATCAGAAACCTTCCTTAGGAGGTTCTTCTGTGTAAGAGACATACTGAACCCAATTTGTTTTTTGTTTCCTTTTTCAGAGATACTGACTTTTGTTGATTTAATTCTTTTATTTCACAAAACCTCTGCTATTCTAATATAAATGAAAGCCTTGTTCAACTTATGCAGAAACCAAGCATTATTAACAACACCTTTTGAAAATGCATGTTTATGGTAGTTTTGAATTTTCGCTTCAGCAAATAGTAAGAAATGTTTACAAATTCCAGAATGAATAATTGCATATTTTTACTTTTTTCTTTAAAATTAGATGATGATGATGATGATGCTGATGACAACAATGAAGAAGATAGACGATAGACAGAGAGATGAGAGAGAGAAAGAGGCAGATTCACAGATAGATAGCTGATAGATTTGTTATCCAACTCTGAATTCTTATTAAAATGTTAAAATATAGTACTTTTCCGTGAAAACATTACTTCACAATATTCCACATTACATTTAAAATATTAGTTCCATGGTTTCCAACAATTTGATATATTGATCAATGAAACATTATTCTTAAGTCATTCAGAAGAAATTCTATTTACCAAAATAAATCAATTATATAACCCAGAATATTTGTTTTCCTTAAATATTATATGAGGTCTAAGATTTTAAAATAAGGTCAAGAAATTAATTAATTGATTTCATGTGCTTTTCACTTCCTTGAAAGGGCAGTTCACAATTTTTCCACATAGCCATATATGCCCAGACATGGGAAGCTTCCAATGAAGGAGTAAAAATGGTTGTGAATGAAATGAGAAATCATTTTTGAGTTAATATTAAAACAGCCCCATTCAAAAAGTTCAGTCAAATGTTTTGAGTTGTACCCAACAACACTCAATAAAGCTTCAATATTCTTTGTTCCACTAGAATACATTTCATACAATTTTGAGAGTTCAGCTGTACAAAATAATTGAATCCCACTGTTGATTCTGAAAACAATCCACTAACCAATTTCCTTAAAATATGATCAAGGTCATAAGTTTTACAACTCTTTTAAATTATATTAAATCCCTATAGGAAATAATGAATATATAATTCTGTTTTTATCAACTGACATTGGTTTAGATAAGCATGTTTTATATACTGTATATAAAAAGCTCCACTCTGAACAGAAAGAAGTATTTACAATGTCTTTAAATGTGTAGCATGTTGTTATACAATCAGCAAGATGCATGACAATGAGAAAGCTAATCTAGCATTCGCCTCAATGAATGTGCCATAACTTTTTCTTACTGTTTTGGGGTTTTATGTTCATTGTTTTGCCAATTTTCTGTAGCAAAGCAACTGATGTTTATGCTTGCACATAAGGGTGTCTGTTGGCTGTTGAACAAAAGTACAACAAAGCAAAACAAAAAAGACAGCAAATGCTGTTTCTTAATTGTATGAAAAACATGTACCATTAAAAGGCATTATATCCTAGTAATCTTTGTTTTTATATATAACTTCAGTAGCATTAGCAACTTTTGCATAAAAGGCAAGCTACTATGTGCCACCCCTTTGAATTAGTTGTCTTTAAAATAAGGCAGGATAACAGAAATTGAATTACCTATCCACCTGCATAAATTCTGTCTCACAGCAACCTTTAAAACAAAATCAGCAATGTTGTTAGGTAAATTAGTAATGTTGAAGCAGTGTTGTTGTAGTGCATGTGCAAATACTGCTTTCTCCTAAAACCCTCATTCCTACATCACCCATCCATCCAGAGCAATGGGGGTACAGTAGTTAGAATGCAGTATTACAGGCTAACTCTTCCCATTGCCAGGAGTTTGATCCTATCCAGCTCAAAGTTGACTCAGCCTTCCATCCTTCTGAAATCAGTAAAATGAGGACCCAGATTGTTGGGGCAATATGCTAAGTCTATAAACTACTTAGAGAGGGCTGGAAAGCACTGTGAAGTATAAGTGTTATTGCTATTGCTATCTAGTTCAGATCACTAATAAGATCAGTCTCTGCTGCACTATGGATTAGCCTATAAAAGATTTGGGGTGGGGGGAAGGAAGCCTTAAAATCACAACTCACCAAACAGATCAACTGCAGCAGTCAGGTTGCCATCCTTGTTTCATCCCAAGAATGAAACCATATATTTCATGGTCAGAACAAAGCTTCAAATAATATACTCTAATTTTTTCCATATCCCTCATCATTGGTCAAAATCATTCATGTTCAGAGGATCAAGGCTCTTTCACTAAGGAGAGACCACTGCTGCTCAAAGTGACTTGTTAAAAAGTAGAACAAACCACACAGTTTTGTTTTTAAAAAGCATCTCAAAGGTATAAAAAGATTAAAATAAGTTGAAGTTTTAAGTATAATTAAAAAGATATAAAAATTATTTGATTACACTTTGCACTGCTTTAAAAATGGGGAAAGAATATCTTGGTCAATCACTGAAGCTGCACAAGAGCCATTCTTGGTATTCCATAATTTCCTGGAAGTATTTAAAATTAAAGAATTTGCAGAAGTGTATAATGTATTCTTTAAATCAAAATCTCTGCATAGATGAAATGTTTTTAAAAATTCTACTATGAAAAATCCATTCCCTTCCCTCCCTTTGAGGCAGCTATGGAAAACATTTTTGGTCTGGTCCTCTTAGCGTTGTGATGTTATCAATACTGATAGTGATTTTTTTTTTGGCATTACACATTTCTCTATCCTTTTGCAACCTTGTTTATTTATGGTATTTGGAAATATTAGGCTGGCATGATTATTATTCTCCAGTTTTCTTCTTTATTGCTTTTCTTCTTTACTGTTTTTGCAAGTACTTATACATCAGAAAATACTGTTTATTTTATTGGTAAAATATATTAAATCTGAATTTATTCAGATTTCAACTAAATAGTCAATATTTTATTCAGTATAGTCAATTAACTCATAATTTTGATCAGCAAACAGTGATCACTAAAATACAAGTTGGATATTTAAGTATATTTTTTTCTTTTCAAAAACAAACTGAAGAAACCCTACTAACAACAAAAACAAAAACTTTTCTTACAGAAGAAATAAATGTGACCTCTCAATTTAGTTGGATTTTATTTTATTTAAAGTTATTTTGAAGGAAGCTTATAATTCAGAAGATATTTCCAAATATTTTTTCTGCTAAATATTTTATTTCTGTAGTCCTCACAATATTCTTCCTTCTTAAACTAGAGGCTATCAATACCTCATAGCATTTTCCTGAAGAAAAATGCCAGAGACATTTTTAAACATTATAGATCAGATTAGCTGTTATCATGAGCAAACACCAACACGGACAGCTGCAAATCCAGATAGCATGAACAGTGATAAGAGATGCTATGAGTTATTGTCCATTAATATTTGGATCCCACATTTTTCACATTCAAGAATGGAAGTGACTAAATAAGATTTTTGTGCTCTATCTAGAAAAATATTATTATTATTATTATTATTATTATTATTATTATTATTATTATTA